ATTTCCTCCACGTAAAAAAAAAAAGAAAAAAAAAGGGTTAAATTGAAATTAGGAAGACGAAGAAAGACAGTTTTATCTATTCGATTCGAGAGAAGGATACGTTTGTGGTGGTGTGAGATATTGCGCGTGGCCTTGAAGGAGAGTGCCGTTCAAAGACGCGTCTCTAAGGGTGCTCCAAGGTTTCCAAAGCGCCAGATGAAGTTCCCTTATACTAACGCCCCAAAGCGCCTGCAGAGAGTACTCGACTTGACTTGATACTTCGCATTCTACCTCTGCAACAAAAAAGCAAAAGAACCATTTTAGATACAGGATGATACAATGGTAACATAATAAGGCTTGATATTCATTCATATAAAAGATATATCCAGAATATATATTCTATATATTTAGAGATGTAAAAACAATAGGAATTTAATCAGGTAAGAAAAGTTTTATACTCGATTATCTTATATATTATTCTTATCTTATATGTACAGAGATGTAAAATATATTATTATCTGTATCTTATATACACAGAGATGTAAAAACAATAGGAATTTAATCAGGTAAGAAAAATTTTATACTCAATTATCTTATATATTATTTAATGCATGTAGAATAATATCAAATTCTTTGTAGCTGATTAAAGTGTCACAGTTGCACAAGCTACATTCGTAATACCTGTTAATAATGAAGAATCATAAATCAAAGGAACAATTGAATGGATTGTTGATTTTATTGTAACGCAGCGAGAGCTGAGAGCAACTTGAGGAAAGATTACATCGTGACGTTACTTAAAATGATTATGTAACGAGTCGACTTTCAACTTTTTTTTTTTTCTTCCCTCTCGTTTGGCTTCAAGATATCTCACTCGGTCAACGGGGTTTCCAGGTCATGCGTGAGAGGACAGACCACAGTATACTTCCTCTCAGGTCTGATTCTCGCGAGTGCTCATTATCCTATGCGAAGAAGCACCTGGAACGCTACCACTCGTCGGTTCATCCACACATGGCTAATCTAAGGATATTTATATACAAATTCATACAAATGGAGAATTATATTATCCATTGGAAATTATAACAGGTACTATGCTATGTTCTCTCTAGTCATTAGATTCCTGTTTCTGCTATCGCGATCTCTAGTGCTGCTTCGGTACAGTAACTGGTCAGCAACTTACATCAGCCTTTCAATCGCTGTACTAAATCGTATTCGTTTGATTTCATAAATTGAAGAATGTAGGGGAGATT